GGGCCCAGGCACAGCGGCACCCCCGCACTCGGTGCCCCTGTGCCTGCAGTCCCCTGATCTGCGATCTTATAGGGAGAGGCGGGGCCGCAGGCATGGCTGCACCTGGGGACCAGGTGCAGCCTTGCCTACGGCCCCGGATATGCGATCACGAAGGGAGGAGCTGGACAGCAGGCACGGCAGCATCCTGGGCACCGGGTGCAGCCCCAGGGTGCAGCCGTGCCTGCAGCCCTCTGATCTGCAATGGCTAAGGGAGGGGAGGGCCACAGTCATGGCGGCACCAAGGGGACTGGTTACTGAGGTGCCTGTGGTCCCCTGATCTGAGATCAGGAAGTGAGGGGCGGGGCCACAGGCAGGGGAGATCAGGGCTGGTGGGGCAACCGCAGAGGTCAGCCAGCACTCAGCCCCCAACCGGCTCTCCCTGGGAACCCAGAAATCCACCTCCCAGGGCAACTGCGCAGAAACGAAGCCTGGCGAGCCATGGAGAGGGCGACCTACCTGGAAGCTACGCAGCTTTTATAGTTGAAGTCGCCCTGGATGGAGGACTGGGGGTAGCAGGGATCAGAGTCCGCCAAGTCAGCCATGGAACCCCTGGGTCCCCGCCGAATGACTAGAGCACATGGACTTCAATGGTCCTCAGTCACTTGCTGAGCAGCAGTCAGCCTGGACCAGGAATCAAACCCAAAACCTGACAGAATGGAACCCAAACCTTTGCTGTGACAGAGGAGCTCTGACCCACAGCAGGGGAGAGGGCACACCAGAGGGATTTTGTTGAGGGGCCGTGACAGGCAGCACCCTGAGCAGTGGGTTAGAACCTCCTCCTGATACAGCAAGGTTGCAGGTTGGATCCCTGGTCAGGGCACAGACAAGAAGCAACCAAAGAGAGCATAGTAAGTGGAACAACACACTGATGTTCCTCTCGCTCCCTTCCTCTCTCTAAAATAATCAATCAATAAAATGAAAATAAAAAATAAACCCTCTGGCCCTAACCAGTTTGGCTCAGTGGATAGAGCATCGGCCTGTGGACTGAGGGGTCCCGGGTTCAATTCTGGTCAAGGGCATATACCTTTGTTGCGGGCACATCCCCTGTAGGGGGTGTGCAAGAGGCAGTTGGTCGATGTTTCTCTCTCATCGATGTTTCTCACTCTGTATCCCTCTACCTTCCTCTCTGTAAAAATCAATAAAATATATTTTAAAAAAATAAAAAATAAACCCTCTGGCTTGCAGAGTTGCTAAAACAGTTAGAAAGCAAAGTCTCATCCCTTCCTGTTCATTCAACAAATACTTCATATGCTCCTTCAATAATCACACTGGGAATGGGTGTTTGTTTGTTTGTTTTGGTTAATCCTCACCTGAGGACATTTTTGCATTGATTTTTTTTGTTTATTTTATTTTTTTTTGCAGAGAGTGGAAGGGAGGGAGAAAGACAGAAACTAAAATGAGAGACATCAAATGGTTGTCTCTTGCTGAATCCCCGACCAGGGCCCTGGATTAAGCCAGCAACCCAGGTATATGCCTTTGATTGGAATCCAACCTGGTACCCTTCAGTCTGCCTGCAGAAGCACTATCCACTGAACCAAACCAGCATTTTTTTTTTCTTTTTAAGTCCTCCTCTAGGGATATGTTCTTTTCATTGATTCTAGAGAGAGAGGAAGGGAGAGGGAAAGAGAAAGAGAAACATCGATCAGTTGCCCAAGCAACCCACAACCTGTGTAGGTGCCCTCACCTGGAATCGAACTCATGACCCTTTGGTGTGTAGGAGGACACTCTAACTACTGATCCACACCAACCAGGGCCTGGAGGGACAATGAGTTCCCTCAGGGGAAGTGCTGCTCATCCAGAAGCCGGGCTCATGGCTGGTGAGTGCAGCGGAGGTGGCATGAACCTCCGTGGCAGCACTGAGGAGCAGCAAGCCGAGTGGTAGGGAGCAGCAAGCAGGTGGGCGGTAAGGAGCGAGGGGTCCCAAACTGTGAGAGGGCACAGGCCGGGCTGAGGGATTCCCCTCCACCCCCAGTGCACGAATTTCGTGCACAAGGGCCTCTAGTATATGTGTATATATATATATATATATATATATATATATATATATATATATAAGCTTAATGTAATGCCACTTAAAAATTTCACCTGTTCTCTATCACAGATTATATTGGATGTGACAATGTCACACTGAGTAATTCTGGGCATATATCAGTTGTTCAATAAATGATTTTTGAATAAATAAATAAAATATTAAATAAGCAAAAATTGACATTCATCTAGGTACCACCCATTTTTCTCTCTGCTAAATCAATTCTGTGTAATGAATTTATTCTATTAACCTGATAACAGGCTATAGAATGAAGAGAGTGATACTATATGAGAGAGGTAATGAATGATTTTACAGTCTTACTAGAAGAATATATTAATTTGGGGGCCATTAAAACAGACAACATGAAATACATTTTAAAAATGAGTCATTTGATATCTTTGTGATCCTGTCTTCTATATTGATGGGCATTTTTCTTCAAATAGAAGCAGAGGAGCTCTAAACTTAACCAGAACACAAGTATTTGAGCCCTAGGCTATCTTAGCACTGGTTGCTATCCTCAAATTTTTCATGGTGTCAATTTTCCTAAAATCTTTGGTACAATGTTGGATATTGCATTTCCTCAGCCAGCTTAAATTTTAGTCACTTGTGTTTTTTCAGTATTGATAACAATTAAAACCATACCCAACCTGTCATATTCATATCGCCATTAGCACAGGCCTCAATGCAATAAAAAATAAAAATTGAACTTAAGAATTGTATCATAGTGTTCACTGATCACATCCTACATTGGGTTTCACTACTGGCAGAGTTGATCACCTTTGAGGCATTTGCATGTTGCCATGTGTATTTACACCCCAACAAGTCATTTCTGAAAGTCAGAGATTGCCGTATAGAACTTTATGTTATAGTCCTCTGGCAAGAAATACAATGTGAGCTCTAAACGAAGAGTCAAATGTTATACTTCCACCTCCCAGACCATCCTCTGATACCTGAAACCAACTCCAAGGCATGCTCCAGGTACTCATCTTCAGTGATGGTGCGACCATCTAACTTCAGCTCCAGCATGAAATCCCGTACAACCCAAACAAAGTCTGGAAAGAAACTCACAAACTCGGCTGAGTCACCTGCTTCACCAGAGCTGGGAGAAGATTTTGCTCTGATTAGCTTTGTTAGTTCAGTCACATAGCTGGGATCTTAGCTAAGGAATGAGAAATGTTTCCTGCCAAAATTTCCAGATCACACCCAGAAATAATTTTTTTGAACAGTCCCATTCACCTAGTGTCCCTTTCTCCTCAACCATGGTTATTGACATGAGGAAAAAACAATGAAAACAATAACAAAATATTCTCAGTTACATTCCCATAGACTCCATGTCACATGGTGGTTCATTTCCTGGAAGGATACTGTAGCTGCTCCAGGGCCTGGTGGTTGATGTGGTTCATGCTGTTGTAGACAAACATGCTGCTCAGAAGCACGGCCAGGGCAAAGATCCATGAGTCATTTTTTGAGTCGCCCTAGAAAGTTCACAGAAGGGGACTGAGGTGTCTACAGTTCATTTTCTTGTTCAGTTGTTCATGCACTATGCCAGCTCTACTAAAACTGAACAGTAGGGCAAATAACATACATTGTGAAGACAATGCTAAATTCAAACCTCATTTTGGTTATTCACACTGTCACCTCTCATGGCTCGTGTTCTTTAGCAATTAAGAGAAGTGAATGACAATGTGAATGTGTGTCAAATATTTAAAAGAGTCCCAAGAACATAGAAGTATGCAATGATAAGTGGGTAATGATTTTTTGCAGCTTTCTCTTGACCATGAGCTTACTAGTGACACAAATGCTAGTCAATTAAATTCACAAACTTCTTATTGTGCATCTAAAAAATTCCAGATACCACATTTAGTTTGGGGGATATAAAGTTTCATAGGGCAATCTCTGACTTTCAGAGATGACTCGCTGGAAACTCAAATATACATGGTAACATGTAAATGCATCCAAGGTGATCAGCTCTGCCAGGAGTGCAAGCCAATGTAATAACATAAAAGGCAAATGGGAATACAAAACCCAGAAAAATTACTTTGTGATTTCAGGGCAAGAAGGGATATGTCTCAATGAGATGCAATCCCATTAGTTGAAAATAGTAGGCCTTTGCTTTAAAGAAAGGACAGAATGTGAAATTCTGGAGAGAAAAGGACCAGGTTTGTGGAAGGATCTACAGAAGCCAATCAGAATCGTCAGAGTGTGTTAATACAAAGGTATAGCATGTTATTTTATTTGATTGAAGTAGTGGTTATGTGTGTGGTAGGAATAGATGATAACGCTGAACATAACACACTCAGGGTAAATCATGAGTGACTATGCAATAGAATTGGGTACTGCCAAAGACACTAGAGTTTTAAGGACAGCAAGTATTTCTGCTGCTATCAGTTGACAGTTATGTTTTCGCTCCTTTACAAATGTAATCAACTAAAAAGAAGAAGGTTTAGTAAACTACAATCTGTTAGCAATGAGTAAACCACCTTGGGCTTACACGGAGGTCATTACTGAGTGCTTTAAACCTGAATTATGCTAAATGAAATAAGCCAGTCAGAGAAAGACAAGTATCATATGATTCCATTCATATGTGAAATCTAATGAACATAGTGAACCAGCAAGCAACATAGAGGCAGACTCATAGATAGAGAGCAGGCTGACAATTGTTGGAGGTGGGTGAGGGGATGGGGGCTGGAGGTGGAGGTATTGAGAAAAAAGAAAAAAAAAGAAAGATTTCATGTACAGGGCAACAGTGTGGTGACTACTAGGGAGGGGTGAGAGAAGTTGGGGGAGGGAATAGGAGGGATAAACGGTGATGGATAGAGACTTGACTTCTGGTGGTAAATATAATATAGTATACAGATACTGTGCTGTAGAATTGTGCACCTGGAACCTGTATAAATTTGTTAACCAGTGCCACCCCAATAAATTTAATTAAAAATTAATATTAAAATTAAAAATATCTAAAAATCCTGCCCCTACTCCTTTTTGGGTAATGGAAGCCAAAGATCCATCACTCCTATTCTGACTTCATCCTCTGGCTAATACAAATAAGGATACAAGATTGACTGCAACTAACACAGCAAAGACAGAATACCTAAAATTATCACATTTATCATGCTTTTGGTGGGTCACAGGGGTAGGCAAACTTTTTGACTCGAGGGCCACAATGGGTTCTTAAACTGGATCGGAGGGCCGGAACAAAAGCATGGATGGAGTGTTTGTGTGAACTAATATAAATTCAAAGTAAACATCATTACATAAAAGGGTACGGTCTTTTTTTTTTTTTAGTTTTATTCATTTCACGGCTGGCTCTAGCATCAGTGATGGCGAACCTTTTGAGCTCGGCGTGTCAGCATTTTGAAAAACCCTAACTTAACTCTGGTGCTGTGTCACATATAGAAATTTTTTGATGTTTGCAACCATAGTAAAACAAAGATTTATATTTTTGATATTAATTTTATATATTTATATGCCATTTAACAAAGAAAAATTAACCAAAAAAATGAGTTTGCGTGTCACCTCTGACACTCATGTCAAAAGGTTCGCCATCACCTCCCTAGGGCAAACTATGAGGTAGATACTATTATGATCGTCACCTTACATGTGAGGAAACGGAGGCACACAGAGTTTAAGTAACTTCCTCAAAGGTCA